TTTTGGTTTTTTTTTTTCTGCAATATATTTTTTTTTGTAATTTTAACATTAATGAGATTTTTTTTTTTTTTTTTTTTATTGTGTATTTTATAATTTCTAATTGATAACAAATAATTTCATCTAGAAATCTCTTCTTGTAAACTAACTTTGGATAAACTTATCTAGGCATGTTTCCCTTGATGCAATATTTCAATGCAAAAGTTAATTTGTATGTGTTGTTGTTGTTTCTTGTTGCCAGGCTGCAGGCTCTGTGTATAGACTGCTTTAGAGAAGTTGTCAATAGAAATGCTCAAACAAACAGGATACTCAGCTATCATTGCTTTTTTATTCATTGGTGTTCTAAGACAGGGATGGATGGTGAATTTTTAAATTAGATCTAGGTCAGGGATGGATGGAGAGTTATTAAATGAGAGCAAGTTCATGGATAGATGGAGAGTTGTTAAATGATATCTAGGTCATGGATGGATGGTCACTAGTTAAATGATATCTAGGTCAGGGATGGATGGTGAGTTGTTGAATGAGATCTAGTTAAAGGATAGATGGAGACTTGTTAAATGAGATCTAGGTCAGGGATGGATGGAGAGTTGTTAAATGAGATATAGGCCAGGTATAGATGGTGAATTTTTTAATTTCTAAAGTGTTCATAAGTTATTGGCTTTTTACCCCCTTTATTAAACTTGAAATGTGTGTTGCAACTTTTTTGAGGTCTTCTTTTTTTGCCCCAACGTCCTAGTAACAGGGTTGGCCAAATCCAGTTCTCTGCCTCTTTATTTACAGGGTAGATTTTTTTAAGTAGGCAGAATATAGTTGAAGTTTATTTTTTGCATACTGTAGCTTCTCATTTGCATTCTGCTTATAATAATCTCTGCTGGTATGCCACACAGTTATAAACCAGCACTTTGAATACCCCAAAAAATTTACTGTCACATTTCTAAACTTCCACCGTCTGACCTACAATTGAACCAGCCATCCCCACACCCAACAAAAATTTATTTTTGACTAGTATTGCATGTCTGACTGGCTAGTATATAGGCATCAGTATATAGGCATCTGACCAGTATACATGCATCTGACCAATATACAGGCATTAATAAATAGAAGCTTTTGAAACCAACCCACATCTGCCCATCCCCACTTATGTGTTTGTCTCAATGTAACTCTCAAAGCTATTTTTAACCACCTGCCTCTAAGAATGGCCTACCCTGTCCATGCAACATAACTCTGGGTGTCATACAACCTTAAACTCCCTTGTTTTTAATTATCTGTGTTATTAAAACTATTGTCCACCCGCATTGTGTGTGTGAGGAAATTAACGTCCTTTTAATAGCCTCAAAGTGAATCACAAAATGAGTGAAGGAACATATTATGCTCCCAGTCGCATTTCATTATGGACACCAATGAAAATATAGGACCCTCCTTAGTAAGATTGGACGTGACTGCAAATTGTTTTGTTTTTTTACTACAATCCTCTGGTACCCAAGTCATGGGGCACTGGTACCCAAATCATGGAGCTCTGCTTTTCTATCCTTGAAGGATTGCTTTTATGTGCGACTGATTTCAGTGTTGGATCTGTCCGTTTGTTTTGTCATCACTTCAAAGGAGGAGTACATTGAACTTGTCTAGTTGCCATGTTACGGCATCAATATTCTTGGCTGGAATAGTAGACATTCATGTTTCTTGGTGGGTTTACTTCATGAATATTGGATTTGTTTTTGAGGATTAAATTCTGACCAGTGGCCTTTTTATTAGCCACCACTAGATATAAATATAAGTGCATCCACTGTTTAACCTTCACTTTCAGTATCTTTAAGGGTAAAAAAAAAATCCTTTTCTTTTTCCTGAGACTACACTAATATTGTCTAATATTTGTAGGAAAAATAATGTATAATGAAGGAGGAGATGAAAAAAATTAAGTATCAGAACAATAGACTTATTAAGTGGCTGCTTTTCCACCTTGAAGGATGAATCTGTAAGCTGTTGGAAATTATATGTAAATGTGACAAGTCTGCGACAAGTCTTCTTGTCAGGACAGACAGCTAGATGATTTATTTTTTTATTTATTTATAACTTTTTTTTTTTTACTTTTTTTTATTTTTTAAATTATCTAACAATTTGCTGACTATGCAATTTATGATTTCTCATCCTTTGGAATACACAGATATGTAGAGTGCATTACATGCCTGATGATATAGATGTGTATTTTATATTGATTGCACTTACTTGAGGTTGGTTGTTTCAATAGGTTAGCTAGGTCCAAACCTCTGAAAGGGTTGGGGAGGCAGATGGCGTTTGTTAGTGTGGAACCTCAAAGGAGATCTTACTGTGCGTTCACCAATAAGAAATAATGAAAAAAATGTTGTTAAATAGACTACTCAAACAATTAATTGTTGACCTTTAATGAAAAGTTGTTTAAAAAGCCACTGTTGTAAGTGGTAGGTTGTCAGTGTGTGAGAATGTTTTGTATTAAATTTATTAATCATTACCTTAGTAGGGTTCCCAAATTTTTTCTTAATCATTACCGCTACCTTAGTAGGGTTGCCTTGTTTTTTTCCACTTGTTGAGTCAGTCAAAGTACCTTTAAAAAAAGATGTAAAGCTACAGAGAAAAATCTAAGACCTGGCAACCCTATAGATCAGTAACAGACTTGTGTTTTTAAACTATTACATGGACTGTTCCTTGCAGTGTTGATAGATGATCACGTGTTCTTCACCAAATCCATTTGATATTATCAGATACAACGTGAACCAAGGTTTTTTTTAATTGATTCTTTACAAAACTGTTGCCTCAAGGCTTCCAGTAAAGTTAGGGTAAACAGTTTAAATCTGTTGACTCAAGGCTTACAGCATAGTTAAGGTAAACAGTTAAAAAAAAACAAGTGGTGTGAGGAAAATATAGGTTTAGTTGTTTTTTTTTTCTTTAAACATATGAAAAAAAGATTGCTTAACCTTAACTTGAAGACATCCAGCATTATCACAAATATTTAGTAAATACTCTGATAGTTAAATATATAATGATTAAGAAAGATAAATTTAAAAGATCTACTTCATTTGCAACAACTGCTGTTGAAAGTACATCTACACATGAAATAATTTTTTTGTTCACTGTCAGACTTCAAGTAATGTTAAGAAAATGTGTAGATTAAAATCTAGTGGGTACACTCTAAATATTTTCATAGTGTGTTTTAACTATATTTTATTTATATTACATTTAGTAGATATGATATATATCATGCATTTAGCTGTTCAGGTATTTATCATTCCTTTAGTCTACATGATTGTTGTTATTTATGTGGTTTCCATCAATCTGCCATTCCTAGATTTGTTTCACAATATGTCATGACAACAGTTTTAAAGTTTTAGACAAATGGATTATATCAGTAGTCCTTTTAAATGTCCCTGTATTGTCAGGTAAGCTATTGTGTTGGACGGTATTTTTTTTTGGTCATTGTTATTATTGTCAGTAAAAATGTGGATATTAAACATAGATTTATTATTATTGTTTGCAATACTTAGTAAAATGTTGGAACTGTTAGAAAAGTAAAATGTTGGAACTATTGGAAAAGTCAAATGTTGGAACTATTAGAAAAGTCAAATGTTGGAACTATTAGAAAAGTCAAATGTTGGAGCTATTAGAAAAGTCAAATGTTGGAACTGTTACAAAAAGAAAAGGTAAATGTTGGAATTATTAGAAAAGGTGTCAAATTATTTTGAACTGATAACTTCTTAAAATATAAATTACTAAAATGCAGGCTGAGTATTGGAAAATTTGTTTTAATTTTCCCGAACTATAAAGTGTGCCATGAATTTAAATGGCATTTCTCTGTGTTACATAAATAAGGGTTGAAACGAAGTGTGTGTGATGATGACATCTATATCTGAGTAATTATGGCCATTGAAAGCCCAAACTCTAAACTATTCATGCTAACCCTGACAACATAAGAAATATTCTGCAGCGGACACATTCACTGACTGCTGTGGACAACCTGATCAGAGGTTAACTGTTTGTAATATAGTAAATACAACAATAAATTTGACAAGACTGTTATGTTGGCATCTGTGTCAACACCCTGTACATGTAAACATACTCATCATGGTATTATCTATAAAATATTACATGTGTAAAAAAAATGTCAGTTATCAATGTTAGCAATATGAAATCTGTGTATTTCACTCCATGTAACCCAAGCTTGTAACTTATACATATCGGTTTCAGCCCTGTATTACATTATTACAATACTATACATTGTGTATCTAAGATTCAGCTACAACAATCAATAACAGTACATTGATGGTAAGTTGCAAGTGATTAAAACAATAGCAACGTGATGAAACCATAGCGACGTGCCAGTGACATGTTAACAAGTGTCAAAAATGCGAGAGTTGGTTTTTTAACAATCATTTTAAATTATTAGCCTATTATGTAAAGAAAATGTATCAAAACATTTCATCATGGTTGTTGACTGCAATGTTACAAATATATATTTTTTAATTTTTTTTTCATTGATTTTTTTTTTTATTTCTACTTCAACATATGGATATTAACATTGTAGAAAAGTTTTATGCCTAAAGCGATGTTTCATTTTTGTTCTTGATTGGTCTTTTTCATGAAGAAACCTTTTTTTTTTTTGTCAAGGGTCTAAAATATTATCATTGAGGAATGGTTGTGAAGTGTTCAAAGCATCTTTTTCTGTTGCTGTGTATTGTACTGTATTGTTTTGGAAGTCCTTCCTTTGATGATCTATTTCAACTAGACATCAGCACAAAATTAGAGACATCAATGTCCTGCAGAGCATTTCATGGGAATTCAATGGGATTTCCTTTTCATTTGAGTTTTTCCACCTAATAAAAGGGGGACAAACTGAACAGAGTTTTAATTCATTTTCACCGTTAAAATTTAACTAGACCCTGTTTCTGTACAATACCAATAAAAGTATAACTAAAGATGAATTAAAGTTTTACGGTATTTGAATATGTTGATTTTCCAGGTACCGCATAAAACATATGTGCCAAAGCGTTCAGATTTTGCTAGTAGTTGACTATATTTTACATTACGTTTTCTGCCGACTTGCTGTGATATGGTAAGAGTATAAATATATTTCAGCTAAAACAAATCAGCTGAAAAGTGGACACATAACCAAGAACTAGATGAGATCAAATACATTAATTGCTGTTTTACGCTATAAATGTAACAAATATATGTCAAAACAACTTAAGCCTTCATGTTCTTCAATGAAAGATCCATACATAAGTCACATGACCAATATCTAAATATGTTGCAATGAATAAAAAGTTTAACCTCTGGGGTCATTTTCATCACTGGATTTATTTTTGATTAAAGTAAGTAAAGAGAAGAAAACAAAAATGTGTATCTTCTTGGGATTCTAGTCTTTCAGGTTCTTCTTTAAGAAGTTGCTTGTAATTAACTCCTTTTGTAATACACACTCAAAGTAAAATACCACCCATCTATATTACAAACTCAACAGAGCTTCAAGAAATGGATGCTACCTGTGAGAGATGATAAGTCTATTAGGTAGTTAGTGAACAGATAGAATTATGTTCAGTGGCATTGAAACGACAGAGAAAAGTGATAGGCATCTGCAAAAACTGGCAGAGTTGGCCAAAGTTATTTGTTGTGTAAGTGATATTAGGCTTGACTTGTGTGAGGAGAAATACTGGCACAACGGGCTTGATCGCACTGTCTTTGAAACACTAATGGTATAGATTGGTACGTAGTTGGCAATTTTATATCAGTAGACTCACATGAAAACTTTACAGAATGTAATCAATATGTGCACAAACGAATCAATTCTTAGTTTTTCTTTTTTTAATTGTATCAAAATACATTTTCTAGGACAAATTAAAAGAAAAGTTTTATATACGAGAATAAATAATTGCATTTAAATTATGACATCTCATGACGGCGTGATGTATGGGATTAATCAAATTCATGGGGGTTTTTTTTAATAACAAATTGTTTAATGTTCCCGAGTGATTGCTATTTAATTATTGTAGAGCATATTTTACTATTTGACAATGGACATTAAAGAGAATAAAAGAATAACAACAACAAAATATTGTTTTTAATTTCATTTTGACTAGCTAATGAAAATGTTAGACAGTTCAGTTACACACTAATCTCTGCAGGTGTAAGAAAATTTATTTATTTATTATGACATGCCATAAACTGTGGAGAGAAAAAATGTACCTCAATTTTGTTTTTTCTTTTGAAGTTTTTTTATATAGAGATTTTCATAACTTCAGAGAATGATAGTTTAATACATTTAAGAAGTTCTGTACTTTACTTCAAATCTAGAAAATTTTAACATTTAATTTTACAAAATGTATGTGGTCAGTTTTTTTATAGTCATATATTTTTTTACAATTGATTTTGGTTCTAGATCGTAGTTCTAGGAGCTGGCTTAATAATTTGTCAATATTTCAATATTTGTTTAAAACTTAAAAGAAAATATTCATTGTTAAATGTGTTTTACCTGTCAGGGCAGTCAGGTTTGTCAAACGCACCTGTCTGATTTATGCATGACTGTACATGACTTTGATTAAAGGAAGATATTTATTAAGTGATAATTAAAAGTTATGTTTATCCCAGCTGTCGATGTCATTTGTTTATTGTTTTATCATCAATATGGGACTATTCTTTCATCTTTGCCATTTCTTGCAAAGAAACAGATGATTTCCACTTGTTAAAGTTTCACATGTAATACCCAATTCAAATGGTTTGCAGACACTCTGTTGCTAGTCATACTAAGTTACTAAGCAACAACCTGATGTTATTTTTAAAATTACATGATTCAAGTTATAGCCCTCTAGTTTTTAAATCTATTTATAAAATTAAACATGAACTTCTTCGTAGCAAATTTGTCATGCTAAAGAAAGAACATGCAATTTATTTGTTATCAACATGCAGGCATTCTAAGATAGCCTTCAGTTTTATAAAATCCATAATACTGGCTTCATGACAATAAAAGTCTATTACTTCAGTCCAATTATTAACCAAGAGACTGTTGCTCAGAGAAGGTACCAATAATATATTTACATTAATGACAGTTTTAAAACACTCTTAATTATTAAATATATTTATTTATCTGACAAATTTATAATAACATAAGAAATTATTTACAAACAATACTTCCTTTATTAATTCACAAGTATATTTTTGCATTATGAAATGTTTTGGCAGAAACTTTACAGTTAACTATTGACTAAATTAAATAATGGAAATTGCAATAGATTTTTATCACAGATAAACAATAATACATTTAAAAATTGGTTGCGCCCTCACAGTCTTTCGTTCTTAATGTAATGTTTTATACATAATAATGTTCATCTTATACACTGAATTCTCGCAAAGACCTACTTTTATTTTTATAGTTTCTTCATTAACTTTTTTTTTTACATTTAGTAGTAGTGCCAGTCTCTTCCAAAATCAAAATGATAAATGAATTCCTTTTAATTAGCATGAGAGCAAAGAACAAATATTTTCATATGCCAACGTAAAAGACAAGTGAGTAGACACTGTGGTAGGTAACAGAGGAAGACAAGAAAGCAATCACCATTGACCGCACAATAAGATGTCAACATAAAGATAGTTGCCGTACCTATAAAACTTAAAATGTTTTGTGAGGTCTTTTCTGCAGGTTTATAATTGATTCATTGTAATGACTGGCTAAAATTTCCCTGCTAGATCCACTTCCTTGCAGAGTTGAAAATAAAAGACTGTTTTCCTAAGTGCACTGGACGATAGTGAGCTGTAAGCAATGGTTTAACAAAATATGAGTGCATGTCTTTCAAGTTTATTTAATTACTAAATATTTCACTTTAACCCACGAACTGTGGTCGGCCGAGTTCCTCTTCCTGTACTGTGTCGGGCAATGAAATCGGCCGATAAAAATTGCGTTGAAAAAACAACTTCCAGTCCAATATTTTCTACTAAATAAAACTACTTCCTTTTATTAATAAATAAACTTCCATTTTTGGCTCTTCTGTGTCCTTTTTTTTTAAATTTTTAGTAATTTTTACAACGATCTTTATCAAGCAAATTTATGTAATTAGATTTTCTTGAAATGGATGAGGCCATAGCTGGACCATCTAGCTTACAAAATAAATCAGGAATCTTTTTGATAATTCTTCTTAGCTAATGACTTAAGTGATTCGGAAGATGATTTTCCGATCACACACGAAGACAATGATAATTATGATTATTTTTCTAGTGGGTCAGAAAGGGAAATTTCTGATGATTTAGACCTACGCCAAGAGCGAGTAGGCGTTGCCGCAACAACAGGACTCATTCAAAAATATGTTGCAGGTGATTTTGTTCCAACAAAAAATAATTGGATGTTATTCTATGTGTTTTCTTATATTTCATTTTATGGATTAAATATTTAAATAGCAGCTTTTTAAATTGAATCTGTTTCTTGCCATGTATTAATGTTTATATTATGTATGTCATGCTTTGTTACTTGAATGTAATCACCTTTTTCAAAGGCACCCAAAAAGCTCTAAATTGCCTGCACATTACAGAATAGTAACCAGCACAGTTCGTAGGTTAAGGTGAGAATTATTACCATTTAAACAAATGATTTTGCTTTAGAATGTCAAATAAATGTTGTTAGAGATCTATTTACAGTTTGAAGGAGAAGTACTTACATGGACCAGGCAAGTCTGCATTTTGACCCTGGCCAGTCCAACGTCCTGTTGTTGACACAAATCCTGAGCTGGACATGTAGTGCTTTGGGACCTCCTCAAAGTTTCTTGTCTCATATGCTCCTGGACCAGGAGATGGAGGGGTGGCAGGAAGGGGCATAGCTGGGGCTGATATACATAAATAATGTTTCCGCCTGGAAGATAATAAGTATGGAAAAAAATAGGTGACTGGAATGGAGAAATTAAAAACAATAATTCTATAATGTTTCTCAGGAAACTGCTGACATAAAAATCTGAATCTTAAATCAATAATCATTGGTGTAATACAATAAATAATGATGAAATTTTAACGGAATGAAGAGATGGCATTTTGTATAAGAGGGCGATTGAATTATGGTTTTGGTCCAGAAAGTTCCTGTTTGGTCACTTTTTGCATAGTTTTGTTTTCGTCCGAAACTGATAAATTAAATTTCGGCTTTGGGTCAAAGTGACTGAGGCTTTCAGTCATCTACCATAAGTCAGACAGTCACTCGCTGTTTGTTGGTCGGTAATCCAATATTAATTATTGCTCAACGTCTTGCTATCGTCGTATGATATACGACTAATCCTCTGCAAACATTGCTCACAGTCACAGCTGCATGATGACCTGCTCATCCAATATTTCCAAAAATCTAATTTAAATTAGTCTTAGGTAAAGGTAAATAGTTTTGTGGAATAAAATAAAGGGATGTTAATATTTGTGAGATTTATTTTGATTAATCATTATCATGCTCATAAAAGTTGTCATAGGCAAAGGTAAATACTATTGTGGGGAAAAAAATCCTAGAGATTTCCATCATTATTTCTGTTTTAAATTTTTTTTAATATAAAAATTAGCTTATTCAATTTATTCATTTATTGAAATTCCTCATTATCATGCTGATAAACATTGTCATCATTGACAAAATAAAAATAGTCTACAACATTATTCACTTGTATGGACACAAATGTAAAGAAAGAGAATTATGAAACCTTTAGTAATATTTTTGAATATATACTTATTTATTTCTATTTTGTATAATTAGGCATCTCGTGGGAGATGCTGATCTTCTATCGAGCGCCTCCCCAGCCGGCGGATAGGGGAAAGCCCGCCAGATATGGAGGGTACCGGGGAAATAAAATACCCGGGGCAGACCAAAATCAGCCCTACTGCCTTGTAGGAAGTGGAGGGATCCACAAAGGCTAGGGACCTAACCCGAACAAAGGCAGCTACCCATTGAGCTGTGAGGGGCAACCCCCCAAGTGGTTGTGCGCAAGGCCAACAACCCTGCCATGTAAAAATCATAGTTACAAAAGCACCGAAAAGAGTAACAAAAGACATTTCAGTCCTGGGAGAGGATGGATTCCTTGAGGAGGAAAATATGACGCCTAATAGTGAAAGCCGAAATCTGGAAGCTATTAAGAAAAAATCATAGTTACAAAAGCACCGAAAAGAGTAACAAAAGACATTTCAGTCCTGGGAGAGGATGGATTCCTTGAGGAGGAAAATATGACGCCTAATAGTGAAAGCCGAAATCTGGAAGCTATTAAGCCGACAACCATCATCTCTACCAGGACTACCACCGTCATTGGCGCTTGGAATGTCCGCACCATGTACGAGGCTGGTAAAGCGGCACAAATAGCCGCTGAGATGAGGAGCTATAAGCTCACCATTCTCGGAATTAGTGAAGCAAGATGGACTGGATGGGGGCAGAAGAGATTAATCTCAGGAGAGATGGTGATATTTTCGGGACACAAAGAAGACAATGCCCCACATACCCTGGGTGTTGCTATGATGCTATCAAGGGCAGCACAAGGAGCACTCATTGGATGGGAGGCCCATGGACCTAGAATTCTTTTAGCAACCTTTCGAACAAAGAAACGTAGCATCAACCTAGATGTTATACAATGCTACGCACCAACTAATGAAAGTGATGAAGGAGACAAGGAAGAATTCTACAATAGAGTAATGACCATAGTCCAGGATCGCCCACGGAGGAACATTGTCATCCTCATGGGAGACTTTAATGCCAAGATCGGCAATAGCAACACAGGGTACGAAGAGGTTATGGGACAGCAAGGGATAGGCGAGATGAACGACAATGGTGAGAGGTTTGCGGACCTATGTGCCACAGCTGACCTGGTCATAGGGGGGAGCATTTTCCAACACAAGAGGATTCACAAAGCTACATGGGTCTCTCCGGACATGAGAACGATGAACCAAATAGACCATGTATGTATTTGTAAAAAATTCAGGCGATCTCTCCAAGACGTACGTGTTAAGAGGGGAGCTGATATTGCCTCAGATCATCATCTTCTTGTGGCCAGGATGAAATTAAAACTAAAGAGACATTATACCGAGCAAACAGCATACAGGACTCGGTATAATACCTCCCTCCTGAAGGACCAAGCCAAAAAGGAAGAATTCAGAATCTCACTATTCAATAAGTTCCAAGTCCTACAAGAAATACTTGAAGATGAAACCACCGAAGGAAAGTGGCAAAGCATGAAAGAAACAGTCCAGTCAACATGTCAAGAAGTGCTAGGAAACAGGAAAAAGGCACACAAAGAATGGATGACAGCAGGTACGCTGAATAAAATAGAAGAAAGGAAAAGAAAGAAATCAGAAGTGAATAACAGCCGCACCCGAGCACAGAAAAACAAGTCCCAGAAGGAGTATGCAGATGCAAATAAGGAAGTTAAGAAAAGCATCAAGAGGGACAAGAAGGAATTTGTTGATAAACTTGCTAAAGAAGCAGAGGATGCAGCTCACCAGGGGAACATGAGGGAACTGTTTGATACCATTAAGACGCTGTCAGGGAAATTTAGCAAGGTAGAGAGACCAGTGAAGGACAAAATGGGAAACACCATACCAAGTGAGGAGCAACAGAGAGGGAGATGGAAGGAACACTTTGAAGAGCTCCTGAACAGGCCTGAACCAAGAAATCCACCAGATATCCAACCAGCCGATAATGACCTGCTAATTGACTGTAATAGTCCCACCAAAGAAGAGATTAGCAGGGCCATTAAACAACTCAGAAATGGAAAGGCTGCGGGACCTGATGGCATCCCAGCAGAGGCACTGAAGGCGGACCTGGAAACCAGTGTGGAAATGCTACACCCTCTGTTTATGAAGATATGGGAAGAGGAGCAAGTTCCTTCCGATTGGAAAGAGGGATACCTTATCAAGATCCCAAAGAAGGGAGACTTAAGCTCCTGCTCGAACTACAGAGGGATCACCCTGCTGTCCATCCCAGGAAAGGTTTTCAACCGTGTACTACTTAACAGGATGAAAAACGCTGTAGACCCTCTGTTGCGGGACGAACAAGCCGGCTTTCGCACCAACAGATCCTGCACGGACCAGATAGCGACACTGCGCATCATTCTAGAGCAGTCACTAGAGTGGAACTCGCCGCTCTATGTCAACTTTGTTGACTATGAAAAAGCCTTCGACAGTGTTGACAGGCAAACCCTGTGGAGATTGCTAAGGCATTACGGGGTGCCACAGAAGATTACTGATATAATCAGAAACATGTACGAAGGGATAAACTGCCGAGTTATCCATGGCCAGCAGTTGACAGATGCTTTCCAGGTGAAGACTGGTGTGAGACAAGGTTGCTTGCTGTCACCATTCCTCTTCCTGTTAGCCATTGACTGGGTGATGAAAACATCTACACAGCAGAAAAGAAATGGCATCCAATGGACCTTGTGGGATCAACTGGATGATCTTGACTTTGCTGATGATCTTGCACTTCTTGCACATACCCAACAACAGATGCAGGAGAAAACAAACATTGTCGCAGCCACTTCTGCTAGCATGGGTCTCAACATTCACAAAGGGAAGAGTAAAATCCTCAAGGTTAATGCCACCAGTACATCACCCATTATGCTTGAAGGAGAAGCCCTTGAGGAGGTGGACAGTTTTGTTTACCTTGGCAGCATGGTAGATAAACAAGGTGGTACAGATGCGGACGTCAAAATAAGGATAGGAAAAGCAAGAGCAGCCTTCCAACAACTCAAGAATGTTTGGGTCTCTAACAACTTAGGCAGCAAGTTAAAAGTAAGGATTTTTAACGCTATGGTAAAACCTGTGCTGCTATATGGAGCCGAGACATGGAGAACAACGGCCGTAAACCTGACCAGAATCCAGTCCTTCATCAACAACTGTCTAAGAAGGATTCTCAGAATTCACTGGCCAGACAAAATCAGCAACCAGGAACTGTGGCAGCGGACAAAACAGAAACCCATTGAGGAAGAGATTCTCCAGAAGCGGTGGAGGTGGATTGGTCATACACTAAGAAAACCTGCTTCTAACACAACAAAGCAAGCCCTGAAATGGAACCCACAGGGTAAGCGGAAAAGAGGCCGTCCAAGAAACACTTGGCGCCGAGAATTGGAGACAGACATCAAGAAAATTGGCCATGAATGGAAGATCCTGGAGAAGCTGGCCCAGGATAGAGATGCCTGGAGGTCTCTCGTAGGTGGCCTATGCCCTTGGAGGAACCGCAGACGCCGACGATGATCGGTGGATGCCCCTCATGGACGAGAAGGCTCAACAACATAATTAGGCATAAAATAGCCTTTAATTTAAATCATAAACATGTACATGTATCACTGTTTCATATAATGAACTGCATGTTTGTTATCATACTAAAGGTAACTCAACATTCATTCAGCTTTTGCTTAATCTGGGTCAAATAAAAAATTAGCAGGTAAATGATAATTGAGTTCCTTCAAGGCTTGTGTCTGGACATTTTAGTGGGCCATACCAATAAAAAAAATACATATGCTAAGCTTTCAATCGCTACCAAATGTCTAGGTAGTGTTGTAATTATATTATAAAAGCAAAGGCGAGCCAAGGGTTTATTTTGTACGAAGTCTAGCGACTTCTATCTATTAAAATTCAAGATAATCTCATTTTTTATTTTTAAAATTTAAATAACGGTACCCCATCATTGTTCAAAAAAGGTTCAAAATATATAAATCTTTCAATTTCAGCTGAAAGTCTTGTTAAGCTTTTGGTTTCGGGCGAATGTCAGTTTTAACTTTTGGTTTAGTTTCAGTTTCTGGCAAAATCAGACAAATTTATATTTGGTCAGTCTCTATTTTATATATTAAAATATTAGATTAAAATAATTAAATTGTACAAAAATCTTGTTTTTTCAAATATTTTAAATAGCTTTTAGTTAAAGACAAAAATTTGGGCAGATGTTTGTCATCTTTTATTACATTTGTTTGTTGTCTGTTCACTAAGATATATAAAACAAGTTTCAGTCCCATATTAAGTAATTAAGTAATGGTAGGTCAAAACAACTTAATAAGCTTTTATGTACTTTAAGTGCAATGAGAGCTTCAAGAAAATACATACGGGAAAATAAGTTTTGGTGGATGCTCCACTGGTCCATCAGGGTCATATGCCCCAGGTCCTGGTATCTACAACATACAAGTAGTAAGAATTGAGTTGGTGATATTTTTCGTTTGAATTTTAAAAATATTTATTCTATCCTGTAACTGCAACTTGTAAGGTAGTTTTTTAAACAATTCAATGACTTTTTAAAAAAGTGAGTTTCTACTTGCATTATCTATTTTAGCCTGAATCTGTCGTTTTGATTTTGACTTGAAACTTGAAAAGGGTATTTTTGTACTGTTGTGCAGTATTTGATCATTCACTTGGTATTGACCTGAATAAATGGAAAGAAATGTGAATAAAATCATGGATAAATAATTCAGTTAAGTTATAGAAAGAGATGAAGTGATGATTATCATACACAATTAGATTTTCATGTTTAAAACAGATTTCTTGCCTGGGGCAACCCGTTACAGCTGGTTACAGCCTTTTTATTTAATCTATTTGGACGAGAAAACACTTTGGGTGTTGTTTGTGCGATTTTTTTTTTTTTAATTTTTAGGAGGGGGTGTATATAAATATATTTATAGTTATGAATTTGGCTTTTGTTAAATTTAATAACCATAAATCTAAAAAGCTAAATAAAATCCTTGATATTGAATGATAGAGTTTACCTGGTGCTGGATTATTCTTCTGTTCAGAGAGTTCCATGAACTCACGTTTTGATTTTGACTTGAATGATGCATTGGCTGTGACGTTATTACTTTTACCAACACTACATTTTAATACCTTCAAGAAGCAAAATAAATATTTAGCAGCCCTGATAAGTTCATTTGGTTAGTAAATAAAAAATGAATGCCACATAATTATTTTTGTTTCCGAAAATGTGCAATGAAGTTCAAGTTTTAATGACAATAACTTTATGCCCATGTTTGAGTGGACTGTTAAAATGTGACCAACACAACTAATGTTTTGAATCTTAAATTTAATGAATGTAAGTTACATTTCCCAATGCATGCTTGACTTTTTCACCTTATATTTTTCTTGATTATCACCCAAAAAAGGCATTCAAGATTACCACCAATGATCAAATCAATATTGGTCAAAATGAAGCTCACAAAAATCCAATATACTAGTTCGAAGCAACTTCTGATAGAGTGAGGTCTCACAAAGCTATAGGGATAAAGAGTATCATTGACTGATAGTATGTGGCTTTAAAAATCTATAAGGTGACAGAATATCATAGACAGATAGTGCATAGCATCACATAGTATCATTGACTGATAGTATCTAACGACACAAAGTATCATTGATGGGTAATGATAGTGTCTAGCTTCGGGGCCAATGATTCACTTGTAGATGAGGGTGAGAAACAGAGAAGTAGCTCTGAGAACAAGTTAGTCAGCAGTAAAACATAATTTGTCCCCCTAGAATGTCCTGGGATTTTCCAAAATGAATGGGTCACAAAATTCTCTGGGATTATTCATCAACAAATTTTGGGACATCTAATGCATTTTGCAAAATTTTGCAACAGAAAGATTAATGTGCTGTCTTTAAGCTCATACAATCTGAAATTAGTTTGATTACTTTTATATCACATTTGCTGACTTACCTAACAGCAAGGCAGACCAAAAAAATTATTGTTGAAAAAGAGTCATGCCTATTTACCATAAACTTGTGGTTTGAGGTATGTAACCAATCTTAAAAGAAAATAAGATTGATTGTATGGAATTAATGGTAATTATTGACATGATGGAATATGTAATTATCATGAACAATTATGCGCCTGAGTCAGATAACATAGGTTATCATTTTTTTTTTAAATGTTTTTTGTTTATTAACATATATATTGCTTGAGTGAATGTGCACTGACTAAACTCCAAAAATAAATGTGTACCGGTACTAATTAGAAATTAGGGCATTCCCGTACAAAATATTCATAATATTATACAACATTCTGTTGGTGGTCATGGAAATGTGAAGTCTAGAGATTTAGCTGTTTAAGTTATTAAAGAAAATTAATCACCTCATAGGTGTTCGGCGCAGGAATTCCATTGTTTTTTTCAACAGTCTGGGCGATAGGAAGCTGGAACAGTCTCTCAACCTGACATTTATTGAAATCTTTTCTCGTGCTGAGAAGACTTGGGAGTGCATAGATACCAGGTCCAGGACCACTTGAGAATGTATAGTTCAACTGGCGCTTGGACTGCATCAATAAATCAAAATTGAATGCAACTGATATTAAAGTGTATCAAAGTTTGGTCATTAATTAATTAATATGTGAAAATAAATGTACAAATTGAACCAAAAAATCTAGTGATGTCAAAATATTTTTAAAACCAAGCCATTCAGTGAATGATTCACTTAATTATAGAGTAAAACTTTGAACTTCAAGTGCCAACCTTTTTTAACCTTTAATACATCTTAATAAACAACTTAACTTGATTGACAGATTTTGCAATTGTTATAGAAGAAATCAATTGGTTTTTGTGCAAAAGATTCATATATTTTAATAGAAGAATCATAACTCACACCAACAGTAACAAAGTTTAAAAATTTACTTTATAAATGACAAATTTGTCTCATCAAATATATGTATTGCTTTTAATTGTATTGTCCATTAAATACAGGTATTACTTTTAAAATGTTATTAAATTTATTTAATCTGCTACAACAGGTTATGCACTGAATCTCTTTCAGCCAACTAAACATGGTGTAGATGAGATGTAATCATGCATGAATATATTATAAGTTTAACCTTAGAAGCAAATGATCCAGTTCCCTTCTTAGAAAGTGATGGGTTAGTAGTGTCTAATATATTTACATCACCATATGTGCCTGGAGCTGGTGCTTCTGTCTGCAACATGAGAGAATAACAATTATGGTTGCAAACATTTAAAAAAAGCCAAAAATTATAATTTGCAATTATCATCATTTTAGTGTAGAATGAAAAAATGTTAAGATTGATCAGTTATTGAATGAAATATAATGAAATAAAATAGTTTCTTACCAAAAACGAATCATCTTTAAAACGTTTGGCTTTAGTTAGGAAACCTCTCTTGTCACTATTTTCGGTTATTATTGTCTGATACTTTGTTGGTATAGAAGCATTTGCAGCAACAATTGCATGACCTGAAATCATTATATTTTTTGTTATCATTACCTTAAGGAAACAAAATTAACCAAGCAGCAGAGTTTAAAAGTGTTCATCAAATAGGGATTTAAACAAAATTTATCAAGCAATGAATTTGTGAAGCGATTCTAAAACTTGTTAAAACATTGTAACGATTTCTGGGTAGTTCTCTCGTTGAACAGGAAAATTTGCCTGCATTTTGTCCACCTGTACATCCTTAAGTATGATTGTACAAGACTGATTTATACATTGATATGTGAAGTATTGTCATATTCAAAAATTGAATATATTACTACAACTACTAGTGTAATTATTCTGCTTAGCCATTTTTCTCTGTGCCAATTTTGTTTGCATTTCACTTTCAGTTTCAGTCAGCTGTAGAGTGTAGTGAGTTTGCAAATTTGTTGTATTTATTGTTTGTGTATTTATTTGTTTTTTATCTATTGTTTGAATTCCTTGCTAGGGGGCCGTCCATAAAGTATGTCACGCTCCAGAGTGGGGGAGGGGGTGTAAGAAAGTGTGACAGTTTGTGACAGAGGGGAGGGGGGATGTCAGGCCATGTGTGACGTCACACATTTATTTTTTTAAATTTTATTTCTAATTTCTTTTTTTAGTAGAATTTAATAGCTTTAAAAATAATTTTCAAAAATAATTTTGTGAAACATTTGAATTAGTTCAAAAAAGCGTATCTCCTGAATGTGTTGTTCACAACTCCTCTCGCTAGGAGCCCTACTATGCTGTTGCGTAGCCTTGTTTTATGTATAGCCTTGCCGAGATCAACAGGAGTTTTCAAAGTACATTTATATGATCTTTATTTTCCATCTTTGCAGACCAGCTTACTTGATCGAATTTGCAAAGTATGTCACTTATACTTTGCCTCACAAACAATGTTGAAGAAACATGCAGGACAACATGGAGCTCGGGCTCAGGAGAATGTGTCAACCCAAACTGTTATAGAATCAACTCAGATAAAACGCATCAGTCCTTTGAGAATCGCTGCTAGAAGGCAAAGAGAACTCATCGCAGTTATTGCCAGAAGAGAAAATGCACATTCAGAGGATGTTGAGTGGTTTCATGAGGATGAAGTTGATCTGTCTGCAATTATCCTTCTAGGAAACAATGATGGTGAAAGATTGATGCCAGTCGTAACTATGGATGAACACTTCACGTCACCATGGATGGATGATGTCCAGTGAAAATTTTTTAATTAAACATAATTCACAGGCTCATAATAAACATATTCAATATAGCACAAGAGTTTGTCACATAATTTGTCAATCTAGTCTTTTTTTAGTGAAATTGTTTTGTTTCCTTTTTATTATTAAATCACTGGGTGAGGTCAAGTTTCGCTCATCTAGTTCTTATCCTGTGTAAAAAGATTGCATAATCAGAAATTATCTAAAATTGACCTCACATTTTGTAAATGAAAAATCAGCAGATAAATGATGTGTATTATATTATTGTCTAGTCTAATTTTTGCAATTTTTGTTTTCAAATTCAATCTAGATTGAGTTACTGCTTCAATGAATAACTGTGACAACTGTTGACAATTAACTATTCTACTAATAAAGTAAGTAATTTTAATAATGTGATAGTTCTTTTAAGTGGAAATTTTATATTTTAATACAGTTTAATAGTGAAGTGTGTTTTAGATTAAATTTTAATTAGGTGTTAATTGAAAAAAAAAATTTGTTCGAAAGTGTGACGTACTTTAGAGGGGGGGGGGGGTCCGAGATTTGTGACAGTTTGTGACGGGGGGAAGGTGGAAGGGTTTAAAATGGTCAAAAATAGAGTGACGTACTTTATGGACGGCCCCTAGTCAGGCCTATGTCACTGATATAAAAATATGATTATAATGAATGTAATCCATAAATATCATGAATCATTCACTATAATTATAAATTCTAACAATAAATTAGGCCTAATATATTATTTAAATTAAATATTATTTCATAGGCCTATCAATATCAAGTAATAATGCAAATTAATTTTAGTTTACTTTTATTCTTATATAAAGTGATCATGGGACTCGTACCGGCCATCCCAGCAGGCATGTACCTCACCCCACAGAAGCCGAGTAGACTGATCAGAGCAAAACGCTCACTGAACACTGACTTCACCACTGACATTCCCATAAACAATTACACCAGAAACAATAACAAATGCTTCAAAGTGCCTCGGTGCAACACATTGCAGTATCAACAATCTTTCTTCCCACCCACAATAATAGCATGGAACCACCTGAACGATGCCACTGTGAACTCGACATTGGTCGAAAGTTTCAAGGCTGCCCTGGCATCAACTAGGAGCTGTTAGAATAGCAACATCATATCCCCAACCGTTGCAAAGATGCTAGTACAATTCAGTACATGGATGCAGCAACGAAACATTACCAGAACCAGAACTTGTAATCATATAACTTATAAATGATATAACTTATATAACTTTATAAATTAAATTTGAGGACCATACAATTATTAAATACATCTTTTATTGTTTACATTTCCACTAAAAATTCTCTAATTTAACTACCTTTATGAATATGCCCCGAATGTGGTTTACTATGTTTTACATAGTGGCTATCAACTAATTTCACTCCATCCGCCATGTCTAAACAATGACCTGCTCACTCTTCTTCGACAAATATGCCGCGAAGCTTATTAAAAACAGATTTTGAATATTTCGGTTAAATTTTATTTGTAATTTATTGTTTAATTTATTTCATATTAATATCAAATGAATTGCTAGCTCTCATGTTTCCAAATATATTGAATTATGCTATGCGGGAATAAGTATTATTGCGCGACATGAAAGGTTAGCTGCTTGGTTACGAGGTCAAACGTTATCTGCTGCTGTAATTTTTCCATCTTTGAAACTGAAATAATAGTTGCTTTTAGTCCACATTAACTATTTATCCTCTATTAAAATTATAAAATTCTTAGAGTTCTTCTTAATTTGCTTTTTCAATAATTACGTATAAGTTAATATTTATTATTGTGTTGTATAATCATTTTTTTAGCTACCTTGACCTTCCAGACGGACGGTTTCGATATTGTGTTAAACGAGTACGTTTTTATTCACAGTCAGTATCCAGTGATTCAAAAGGTCCGCCTTGCGGATCAATACTATTCACAGGGTTTCTCAACTTATGTCCCAATATTTTTATTATCTCAGATTCATTGGCAGCGCCATCTTATATATAATTATTGTGAATGGGTGAGCTTATGATAAATAACCGCCCCAAAAATAGTGAAGTGTTTAGGGGGGTGGAGGAGATGAGAGGCTTGGGAGATTTTTTTTTTTGGGGGGGAGGGGGGGGCATAGACACACACAAAAGGTTCGCTGTGTAAATTATATCGGAAATAATTGTTTTAATTAAAATTGTCTATACACACACAGAGGCTAGAACTATTTGATGCTCTGGAGAGTAACTTAAGTAGATGGGAAGTTCACGCATTGCTGCCGCCACTCTTTGGGGGGCTATAGCTAGTAACTAGTAGGCTACATACGTTTCCCCACGAATTAAGAACGAATTGCTTTTCCGAACGACTGTACCGTAACTGTAAGTACCATGAATTTATTCGTAAAATGTTGCTTGGTTCTTTGTTGACTACGATGATCGTAAGATAAGAGCTATAAATACTATCAAATGAATAATATAAATACTAAAACAAAACAAAAAAAAACATTTTAAATACAGCATATTATTAATAGAAAATATGTAAATAAAGTAAGAATTACTTGACTCTACAGTAATACCTTGGATTGTCGTGTTTGAGGCATGTGCAGATAGGGTGAACAGGGGGTTAGTAGATCTTTACATGTGCAGATAGGGTGAACAGGAGGTTAGTAGATATTTACATGTGTGGATAGTGTGAAGAGGATGTTAATAGATATTTACATGTGTGGATGGGTTGAGGAGGGGGGCAGTTTGTTAGAGTTGCCGTTGGAATTCCAATTGTTGCCAAATCTAACTTTGTGGCAAATTGTGCGGCTCCTTTTTTGGCCAATTGTTGCCAAATCTAACTTTGTGGCCAATTGTTGCCAAATCTAACTTTGTGGCCAATAGTTTGGCTCATTTGTGGTATCTTGTAGATTCGTTCATGTAGACACATTTGTTGGCATCGGGGAAAGTTCGTTAAAAAAAAAAAAATTTAAGTTGGGGAGCGTCTTTGGAAGTTGGAGTCAGCCCCACGAGAAGCACTTGTGCCAACGGAAGTTTGTCTGAACCAGCAAAACCTCCAGAGCTCTTATCAAAGACTGTAGAAAGTACTAAAAAAAAAGACTCCAAAGACATCACACATGACATTGCCTATACATCAGAAATGTTTCATAAATACAATAAAAATGAATTGGCAGTTCAATTTTGCTTTCTAAAAAAAAAAAAATGTGTCTTTCATCTTTGATATCAACATTATTTATACTCAAGTGCAATGTTGGACATCTCAAGTTATACTCATTTTTAAGCCAAACTACAATTCTTCAAAAGTGAAGTTAAAAGGAGCATATTTTAATAAATAGTTTCCGGCGGAAAACCCCGGAACCCTCTTTAGTTGGAGGGTATTCCCCCCCCCCCCACCCACCCTCCTCTTGGGTGTGTCCCGTTTTTTTCCAGTTCATGATTTGGTCACCCTATTGTAAGCCAAAATTAATCAATATTATCAAGTGTATTTTTCACTGCAAAAATAATAAAATACTAGTAAAATCGCCGAATTCCTCAAGGAAATGATCATAAAATTATTAAAATACTGGTAAAAATCAACAAATTCCCGAAAAAATTATCGGAATATCACCAATTTTATTTTGTATTTCTTAAAATTAAAGTTAAGATTATATTAGTAAGTAAACCCAGACAAAAATAGAACAATATCACTGAAGTCTTGTGGGCGATCTGACAAAGAACTCGACTGACTTATTGTCAACTCTGCGGGTGCCAAGCCGTATTAGAAATGTATCATTCAGCGTTCCCTCGTTGAAAGAAAAAAAAAATTGGGTCAGCTGAATGTGAAGCAGATTTTACACAGGAGGCTGCGCCGGTTGGGCGCTTTGAAACGTTGGGATGCCAAAATATGTTTTATTTAAGTAGGCTACATGGATATTATTGTCTTATAATAGGGCAGCCAACTACTCTACTCTGCTCGGTCAGCTGCCTACAGATCCTTGAATGTCTCTCCCTACAACACCCCTTCAACTTTTTTTTTTTTTTTTTTTAAATTTATTAACAGACCAGTTTACCTCTTGGTTATTTTCAGAGTATTTTTCAGGGCTCAGAATTTTAGTTTAAGCTCCAAAGAGTAGTTTGGTCTAGTGGCCAGTGGGGTGGGGTGTGTGTGTGGGGGGGGGGGAGGGGGGTTTATAATAAAAAAAATAAAGAAAACCGTAGTTTGTTGGGTTTTGTACAGACTCGTAGTGCCGTAGTCTTAAGCTTGTCGTAGTTCCATAGTCTTAGGCTTAAAAAGGTAGTTATTACGAAAAAAGTTGGGTGTAAAAAGGTCTGAATTAAACAAATCTTGTTATCAGCAAAGCCCCTTTGTGACTTTTAGTGGCCCCTTGTGTGACTTTTGGAGACTTCCCGCCATTTTGTGTTAATATCCCCCCCTCCCCGAGCATTCAATGTTGTTAGTTCACATTTTTTCCACATCACAACTTTACTAACATAGTAGCTCCCCTGCTTGACGTTTTAAACTGATTAACAACCAGTATTAGGAATTTTAATGACACCATTTGAAAATTATTCATTTAATTAACAAGAAAAATAATGACTTTTTTAAATTACTGTAGGCCTACATCACCATCACTTTCGACTCAACACAATCAAGATTACTTTGTATACATGTATTAATTGATCCAACGCGAATCCTTTAGCCATTGTCTATTCGACTATCTCAGAAGTGTTATTGATTTATATGATCAAGGTTTTCTGTTGTTTTTTAACGATGTCTTATCATGTATGTATTTTTATAAAAGCTGCTGTCTGTACAGAATCAGGACAAAGAAAAGTGGTATCGATATTTATTGTAGCATGAAAGTCGTCTCAATTGTGCCATAGTGCAAGCCGTTTTTAACCAATGAAAAGGAAGACATCTGTGACCTATTTGTAATAACCAATCAGTGCTCGGATTGAGGAAAACGCGGGTGTTTGAAACGTCTTTTTCCCGAACTTTAACATAACTTGTTCCAACATTTGCGGGAGTTAGACCTTTGTCTGAGACCAATTTTGGCAAATCCGATCGGCTAATTGTAAAATAAATTTAAAATGTCTTCAGTCTCAGTGTTCCGTTACAATGATGCACAACTGAGCACACAAATGAAGGCAGCTAACTTAAATGACGAAAATAAGGTAAATAGTTCTATATTCTATGACAAAAAGTTGGATAATTACGTCATTCACTCTTACTCTTTGTCTTTTGTGATGTCGTTACGAATTTATGTGCTCTATTTCACCTATCTCATTCTATTACTTGGACTGATTAGTAGGACTTGCTTATACCGTTTCTAGTTCATATGGTCAGATAAACAGAATCGGTAAATGTTTTTTTTAAAGACACATACACTGCAGTAGAAAAAAATGTTGTGGTGGGCGTATCCCGCGCTTTTCTTTATTAATTTATTCACTTTGTTTAAAAATTGCCCACTCTGAATGAATGAATTATCTTATGTCATTTGTTCATTGTTTCAGGAACCAGTTTCCAAACAAGGCCCTCAAACCCCACGAAAGCCTCTGGGAACAAGTAATTTACAGGTAAATGAAAGTTGTATAAATAGTTGTTAATACCGTTCAAAGATGATTTTATAAATTAAACTAATTATTATAGTGAATTATACTGATACTGGCACTACTGTCTTAACTAAGATAGTCTAAGTCTCCTACTAAAAGTCTTACTCCTAGACTTAGTCACTACTAATAGTAATAGCTTATTTGAAAAACACGCTTCATCCCCAAAGCCCAAAGGCTCGAAGCGCGGTACAAAGTCAACAATCTATAATTTACCTCATTTAAAACAAACGCAACACTACAAAACTAGTTACAAGCATACCAAGTTAAAGTCATTCTACCCATTTCAACCCTAAGCAACACATCCAATATGCATTAACCGGAAAATATGGTAGACAATCATCCCAGACGGTGTGCGAAATAGATGTGTCTTTAAATCGGTTTTAAAGGACTCCAGTCTCTGGTTGTTTCTGAGAGTGACAGGGTGTTCCAAATTGTTGGACCAGCAAAGTCAAAACTTAATTAAAAAATTTTTAATGAATAATTTATATTGATTGTGAGCTTTCTTATAACCTATGGACTATCCATTTAAGTGTAAGTATAGTATAGTATAGGCTAAGTATAGGCTAATTAATTAGTATAAGTGATTAAAGTCACAATATTTCCATAAATTCTTTAACATACTGGAGCATAACTCCTCATATCATATTGGGCCCATTCCCCCAAATTTGAAATAGTTACAACAAATATCTATTTTCTTTTTTATGTCCATGTACTTACTTCTTACTTTAATTAATTACTTATGCTTTGGCATTTAAATAATTTAATATATTTTTGAAATAAAATTATCATCACTTTCAATCAGAATAATTCCCAGATATTTAATGTGTACAATCCGTGAATCAAAGGCATACAAATCCAGAACTATTCCAAATATAGTTAGCATTAGCATTTCCTAAAAAAAAAAATAATTACTATGACATACCTGTCTTTTGAACTTTTGTACATGGCTGAAACTAAACCGTATTACTTATCAATTTAATTTAAATAAATGTTTACTGATCTTGTCTGCTGCATGTTAGAATCACTTGCATTTAACACAAATTATTGCAAGCTCATTTTTGTAATGCAGAAGTTCTGTCAGAACCGAGAACCACACCAGATTTGAGCTTTGTATCTTTAAAATTATTTAATTAAATTTGCTAGAAGAAAATCATAAATATTAGGCTACTGATGATTAATTTGCAAAAGTTTTACTCTGGTTTACCCATCAAATGAATATATAGGCCACAATAATTTAGTGATTCTTTGCCCAGACGTTAAACTATAAAGAATATCGCAGACACTGTCAACTATATTGTCCATATACATAATTTGAGCAACAGTGTCAACCGGCATCCCTTATCCACCAGATTAACACAGAATGTGGCATCTTAAATTTTCATTTGCGTGGTAACAAAAATTACGACTCACAAGATTAAAATGCGAGTGGAAACTAAAAATTTGTCAAATTTGCTTTAAATGTTTTGAAAGAAGGGTTCAGTGTTACATAAAGGCAAAGGTTCGTGATACTTTAAAATTCTTTCTAAAAGCCACAAGTTATCTTTTTCATGCACAAATGCAACATAACTAAACTTGGACCTCAAACCTTGTAAACCAAATTATTTAAAAGGATTTTTTTTTAATGTTATATTTATGAACTGCTTCATTTTAGACCAGAGGTTTAATAAGCAAAAGTTTGGGAAATTATAAATCGTTCTTTTTATTATTATTATTATTAAAAGCCTATTTCCTATACACATTTCATATCAAGCCAACAGTTTGTTAAATTTTTTTTTATTATATATATTTTAAAAATTTAATCAAAAAATGTATTTTTACTTTTAATTTTTTAGAATGTGATATTGGATCAAGAGTCTGAAAAACAAATTATTAAAGTCAGAGAGGTAAGTCATTTCATGAGTTAATAATTTCAGATAAAATCTCTTCGAGTTGCTTTAGTTAGGTGAAAGCCTACCCTATACTAGTTATTTAAGTTATAAAGCCAACTTTATATATTTGAGAATAAGTGGGAAGTTGGCTTATATTATAAATAAGCTATTCATAGATTTTATAATTTTTCCCTAGGTATCGGTACTGTACAAGTACAATCGGTTTTAAAAAAACAAAAGTCAAATTTTATTAACTGACCAACGCAGAGTCACAAGTTTTGTCCCTCATACGTGAGCACCATAGTGGCTATGCTTATTGAAAGATCTCCATTAGAATGTCATATTTTATAAGGGGTCATCCATTAACTACGTCAACACTTATACTTTTTAAGCAATTTTTGGACTCACACACACCCCACCCTGTCAATTATTATAAATACATTTTACTTTGTGCTGATCTTTTTTTGACACTAAGGTTGTAGGAAAAACATTTCAGGACATTTTTAGCTTGTTAAAAAGTTTTTACACTTAAATTTTATGAGTAATGCAGAATCAATTGAAAGGTTGTTAAGGCTAAGGGTGAAAATTGGAATCAATTAAAATTTATTTAATTCGTTTTTCTAAATCAATTTCAATGGTTATCAGATTTTGAAATTATACATATAAATGTGTGCCACTTTGACATTTATTTTTACTAAAACATCCAGTTTTACAGTACGCTAATCATTATATTATACTACTGGTACTTGAAGATGAAGCCAATGAAAGAAGTCACACAAACCACTTATCTGTCTTTACCTGCATTAAATTTATTATTCATGAAAGAAAATTCCAACTCCAGAGTCCAACATCTATCTTTTTGAGAAAGTTCTGATTAAACTTAGTAGAATTATTAAAATAATATTTTATATGAAAGGCGAATTTTCATTTTCATGAAGGTCAGGAAGTGTTAGTCCATTTTCCTTCATTATGAAACATGTCCTCTGTTATTAATGTGCTACTTGGTCTGTGAGGCAATCTTTTCATGTATATTATGTTTGGACTTTTCGGTCATTTAAAATTACTTGAAACATTGTGGCTAAACTGTATAAGAGCTATTAGCAATTTTTTTATTTGCTCACAGCAAAAAAAGACAGCAAAGAAAGAAATAGAGGAGCCTTTGCTGAAAGAAAACCCAGGAAGATTTGTTTTGTTCCCCATTCAATACCATGATATCTGGCAGATGTACAAAAAGGCAGAGGCCTCATTCTGGACTGTGGAAGAGGTGGATTTATCTAAAGACCTTGATCAATGGGACAAGCTGAAACCAGATGAAAAACATTTTATCTCTCATGTCCTTGCATTCTTTGCAGCTAGTGATGGAATTGTCAATGAGAACTTGGTAGGTCATAAAAATTCATTAATATAGAATTTTAAAAATTGTTTAGGAAATTAATCATTTTTTATAAAATATATAACATCTGATGTAGTACCTAAGCTACCTATTCCTTCCAAATTTCAGGTTGAAAGGTTCAGTAAGGAGGTTCAGGTGACAGAGGCTCGTTGTTTCTATGGTTTTCAAATTGCCATGGAAAATGTTCATAGTGAGATGTACAGTTTACTCATTGATACCTATATTAAAGATCCTAAAGAAAGGTAATTAAGTAGCTGGTCTAAATTCTTTTTTTTTTTAAACTGGTTTGTATTTTGTAAACAAGACTTTATAAACTACTTTATTAATCACTAGTAATAGCTATAGATTTTTGCATAAAACTTATTAAAATCTTGCAGAGACTTCCTATTCAATGCAATTGAAACCCTCCCTTGTGTGAGGAAGAAGGCAGAATGGGCCATTAAGTGGATTGGTGATGATGAGCACCCCTACAGTGAAAGAGTTGTGGCATTTGCAGCTGTCGAAGGGATTTTCTTTTCTGGATCATTTGCAGCTATTTTTTGGTTGAAGAAAAGGGGGATCATGCCGGGATTAACTTTTAGTAATGAGCTGATCAGCAGAGATGAGGTAAATAGTTTTAAAAAGTTAAGTAGAAAACTTTTTTTTTCAAAAACCATTGCACATTTAATTAACCATGAAGTTTTTAGACATTCAAACTCACTTTTAAGGAAGTATTTAGTTTTTTTAATATCATTACAGGGTCTGCATTGTGATTTTGCCTGCTTGATGTTTAAACATTTAATAAACAAACCGTCTCAAGACAGAGTATATGAAATAATTAAAGATGCTGTTACCATTGAACAAGAATTCCTCACAGATGCTCTACCAGTCAACTTAATTGGGATGAATTGTGAGTTGATGAAGAAGTACATTGAATTTGTTGCAGACAGACTTCTAGTTGAGCTGGGATGTGAAAAGGTAAGTTGTGCTTAGTAAATTGAGCACATTATCACGTTTTTTGTTTTCCTTTAATATATAGAGGACCTATCTGGCATTAAAGTTGAAAGTCTGTCAATTTTTACCTATTTTCCAGCAATAAACTAATGATATAATTTAATTGATTAGTTTTTGTGTTGTTGTTTTATTTAAGTTCTAGTAGTAAATCCCACCACAGTTTCACAGTACTTGTATAAACTTTAATTTTTTCAGGTTTACAATTCAGAAAATCCATTTGACTTTATGGAACACATATCCTTAGAAGGAAAGACAAATTTCTTTGAGAAGAAAGTTGGGGAGTATCAGAAGATGGGTGTCATGAACAAATCACCAACCAGCCATCAATTCTCCACAGATGAGGACTTCTAATTGCGTTCACTTCCTTAACCAATTGATCTCAGGTCATTCATCCCACAACTGCCATTCATTCAGTGTGTTTGTGATAGAAATTGGGTGTGTGTGCTTAAAAATTTTAACTGAAGCATTTCTTGGACTCGTGAGACTATTGTGCAGATTTGACTTAATGATAGTCACAGCTTGTTTTTAATTAGCATAAATGCTTTTAATGTGTGGCTTTTTATAATCTTCCCTTGTATTGAAGCACCATAGTGTTCAGTAGATGTTGGAGCTGTTTTTAATGGATTTTAAATTCTCAGACCTTATTTATATCTGCGAGAGGCATTACTTTATTTTTTTAGTTCCTTCATTTACAATTTAGATTTTTAATAGTTTGTAACCTGTCTGAGAACCTGCATAATTTTTAGTCTGTCCCTTGCAATATGTTATTTTAATGTAAATAATATGTCTATTAATTTATTAAAAGCCTTTTCATAAATAATGTATTTTTAATGTCTTTTTTGACTACCGTAACTGTATTTGTTCTGTGTTTCTGCATGTCCTGTCCACTTTCAGGCCCTTCTAATTAAAAATGTACACCATTTAAGGTTTGATTTTTAGCTTTATTTATCAAATAAATGACTGGCATATTTCAATGACACTGAAAGACTAATAAATTACATGCAAAAATTGTGATGAGATCCCTCTTCAGTTTCAAAATAAATTTTGCAAGTTAAAAAGTTTCTTATCAAATCTTGTGTTGAAAGGCCCATTGATGTTCTAAAGAAAAAAATAAAGGCATGCTAAAAATACATTAGTAGTAATCGTACTATTTCAAAACTCTTAGAGCACATTTTTATTATAAACTCCTGGCTTTATATTTTGTCAATAGAAAATTTCAGTACAGTATTGTTGCTAAAGTTATTTGCATTGAAAATCAAACAGGGGGGGGGGGTGGTCTCCAGCTTTAAAATTTAGAAACCTGCATTTTCAGGGATAACAGTATTTTAAAAAATAATATAGTAAAGACAAGTGTATAAATTAATATAAAATGAATTTTTATCACAAAATGTTGCTAATACAATTAAAAATAGAAAATTTGAGTATAGAATTGTTGCTAAAGTTATTTGCATTGAAAATCAAACAGGGGGGGGGGGTGGTCTCCAGCTTTAAAATTTAGAAACCTGCATTTTCAGTGATAACAGTATTTTAAAAAATAATATAGTAAAGACAAGTGTATAAATTAATATAACATGAATTTTTATCACAAGATGTTGCTAATACAATTAAATTAGACACTGCAAAAAAAGTAAGTTGCTACAGTACTTTTTAAAAATGACATCACAGACAACATAATATACATCTCAGTGTATATAACTTAACATAGCTTTGTGTCTACTACCAGTACTACTATGACATCTTATACTAGCAAAATTGAAAAACTGCTCCACTCTTCAAAAATATTAATGTAAGTCAAATAAATTATAAATACTGTACATTGAATACCTAATTTTCATATCCAATTATTTATTTTATGTAGGGGCACCCTAAGGATATTGAATTTAAATCTCTCACCCTTGTGAAGCAAGTATCTAATCCCAACCTGGGGAGCCAGTGAAATTATTTTTACAGTATATATAATATAGCAAGTTAAATTAATTAAATATTTTTTAGTTGTATTTGTATAACAGTATATTAAAAAATATAGATCAATTGTTATAATGTATTTTTATTTTTGTAGGGACTCCAAGACCTAGTCTAACAGGACTGCAGAATATAAACAAATGTTAGGGGAAACTGCTACAATTTATTACACATCCCATAAAATGTATCATAAGCCACAATAGAGAGATCTTTAGTGTACTGTTATGTTATTTGCTGCTAGCTTTCTGAAATGAAAGACCATATCTGTCACTTTTATCAGGGAGTGGGAGCTTTACATTTTTACTTGAAATTATAAAATATGTGTGGTAATGGCTTTTTGTTGTATATTTCTTGTAAAGAACATTAAATAATAAACAATTAGTATGTCAACTTATTTTGACCACAGTGTTTTTCAATCTTTAGTTCCTTCAATATTTTAATTTTAGGGATTTTTAATTATTTTTTTAAACATTTATATTTCAACACTGAAATCTTAATGGAAAATGTAAATTAAATGAAAAGAAAATTATCACCTAAAAAAATTCACAATTTGGATCAGCCCTGGAAATTTATTTAGCAAAATGCATTCAAAATTTCCAAGACAAATTTGAAAATGTCCTGAACAAAATATTTTTTTTCTTATTTTAAAAACTTGAACACTATATTTTATGATTCAACTTATTGTGTCTTTTATTTAAAACATATGTCTCTCAAATTTTATTCAAAGCAAATCATCAAGCTCCATTTTCAACCAAAGCAGCAATTTATATGAGATGAGCATTTAAAGATCATACATGATATATAATTTATAAAACGAAAATAATATTTCATATCCATTAGGGCAGCTCAACCAGTGAGCTCTAGTGTATATATTAAAATCCTACTTCTAATTATAGTCAAGGAACAATTATTTCAACAATCACAAAGGTATGCAACAACTACCTTTCTTCCCCCAAGAATGAAATATTTAATGTAATGTAATAAAAGTTTAAATGTTATAAATGTATGTTTAAATAAAAAGGACCCATCTCAGATTCCAATCTAAGTCTCAGATTTTTAAATAACATAACTTAATTGAAATTTAAGAAGTAAATTGAACAAAATGTTTAAATTATAACTACCTGTGCTTTAGTGAAAATTAAAATTAGATTTCAGAAATAGGGCCCAGAGAATCTTAAATTAAAAAAATGACAAACAAATTTTCTTTTCTAATTTATACTAATTTATAGGGTAGAAATATTTGTATATGTTATGGCTGGACGTATAAAATTTACTTTAACCTTGTCAAGCAGGCCACATGCCGCCTGCCAGCATCCACTTGGGTCCGGGAAATATTCTTTATTCGTATTATTTTCTTAATAGTATAGCTTTCCCCCCATCCTATTTTCTTTTGGCCCGCACAAATCCTGTCCTATTTTAAAGACACAATCCAACCATTTTAGGTTAAGAAAATAAGATCCTCAGGACCGGTAAAAGAAAAAAGATTTTATTTACCAGTAATCACACAACTGATGATTGATTTTATACATGAATTAAGCATAAAAACATAATCCTACAACTTGAACTGTCAGGGCAATCAATGTAATGGAGTTGCAATAGATTGACAGTTCGCAAACACACATTTTGATTTACCTTCAACTTAATCTTACAGCTAATTATACAAGTGAAGGACTGAACAGTGAATTCCCCTGACATAAGTGAGATAAATTAAATTCAACACAAAGTGTCAAAACAAAAGACTTAAAATAAGCAAAAGCTACAGATCCTCAAACACGGTGTATAAATACAAATTTAAAAAAAAGAGACCTCCCCAATAATATTTTATGTGAGCATATACACAAGGTGTACTTGGGGAGCCAACCATATACTGGTATTTTATACCCCAAAGTGGGGAAGGGTGTCAGGAGATTAGTTTGAAATAAATCTGCCTCAAACTTATGGATCTTAAAAAGATGGGGGGAGAGAGTGTTTAGTTAGATTTTAGATGTCCAAAATATACACTAGACAACTGGAAGGGAGACTGAAATGGGAATATTTAGTATTCACTATATGGATCACCTCTTTATCACATACCGGTAATTTGTTGTTTTTTTTTCACTGGCTTGTACCGTACCAGGACTCTTCTGATTTGAAGCAGCGTGAGATATACCATTTACAACACATTAACACATTGGTGATTTTTTTCCCCCCAAAAAGTTATTTTCCTGTATTAGAAATAGGACAGGGCACATCATAATCCAGCTGCTGAAGTTTTCAGCTCGGACGTCACACATATACATTACTCTGATGTCAAACAGATTCTCAGCTCTAACAACACAGACAGACAGGTCTGATATCTCACACAAGTTCCATTGTTACAAAGATACTAAGCTCCAGTGGTACACATATACCCAGATGTCAAGCACGTACTCAGCTCTGATGCAACAGATATGCTCAGCCAGCTCTAAACTCAAAGACAGACACATCATTTATCTCACAGGTATACCCAGATGTCAGCTCCTGTGTTACACAGATACAGCCATAGCAGAACAAGCACCAAATATTCTGAAAAGCCCACAGTCTAGTTTCAAGTGGGTGATCCATTTAACATGGAGAGGATGTGTCAGTTTATCAGAACAAGCAACAAAATTCAGAGCATAGCCTCCTTGTGTCAAGTGGAGAAGCCATCTCCTTCTTCTTCATCACAGCACCTGCAAATCTTGCACTTGCAGCACAGGATACAAGGTGCTGCAAGGAGGAGGAAAGGGGAGGCAACCAGCAGTAAAACACCAAATCCAGCAAATATTCCTACCACCTGGAAGAAAAGAGAAAGTTGAAATTTTTTTAATAAACATTGTATTTATGATTCATTAAGTCACCAGAGAAAACTAAAATAAAATTATACACACAGTCACAAATTTTGTAACCCATGATAAAGTTAATACAAAGATGGGAAAATCACTTTAACTGGTTCTGTATACCGGTAATTAAAGAACAAAAAATTTCAGTTCTTAAAAAGTTCTTTCACTTAAAATTTTGATTAGTTTTCTGCTTTGGGGCCATCCATAAAAGACGTCCACCAATTTTTTGCTTTTTTTTTACCCCCCCCCCCTCCCCCTTTTTCCATATTTGACTTGACCCACCGTTGTGGACGTCCAAAACATAAAATTTACCGAACTTAAATTAATGAATATTTTGGGAAAATGTACAACAATATAAAGATTATGTATTTAAAAAGATTTTTTTTTAGAAATTACAATTATTTGCAGGCAAAATTCTAAATGAAATAATAACTGTTCAAAAAAATATTATTATTATTACTATTAAAATAGTATTAAAAAATGTAATAAACAAATAATCCACCATTCTTCAATCAACGGAAATTTCGGACTGCAGCCATTCAAACATGTTTCGTATAATGACAGCATCTGTTCTTGAGTCTTCAATTGCTAATTCAATTTGAGTGGCAGTCTCTTCGTCTGATTCGTCTGCCATATTATGTTCACTAGCAGGAATATTGCAATGGACGACCTTATGTTTTTTCATTGCCGCCTGTGATGGGAAATATTTACCGCAGAAACATATTCTCTTGGAAATTCTCCCAGCCACCGATGGACAATGGAGATCAAAAGGCATGCTACTGTAACTGTGATCCGGCAGTAAATTTGCAGTAAATTTATGCAAAACTGCTGCACTAATAAAAAACACTACAATGTGGACATCCACTTTGTCCTAAACCCCCTCCCCACCTTTGTCCACTTTAGTCTACTTTTTGCTGAACCCCCCTCCCCCCTTTTGTGTGGACGTCTTTTATGGATGACCTCTTTATAAAAAGAAAAATATCAAATTTAATAAACAAATCATAATTGTAGTGTTTTTCATTTTCAATCACCAGTGATTTAAATTCAGTACTGTCAGGACCATTCATGATTCAGCTATATATTCTGGTATTAAAGAAACAGGGGACAAATTAAGTTATCTGAGTTAATTATCCTGGTAACTCCTTACCTGGGTCCTGTGCCATATTACAGAGGCCCTGGAGTGTCCAAGTTTGTTCTTACAGGGGCCTTTGTCATAATGTCTCAGCAGAAAGTCATCCTTGAAAAAAAGGTATTCAAATTTATTGGTTTGACATAGTGTTTATCAACTCTTAATTTTATATGCAACCACATGATTACCAAGAGCTGGCAATAAATTTTATGCTAAAATTTTTGATTAAATGCTTTGACATTTTTATGAAGCTTATGAAACACTACAACTAAAACAGCTAAATTTCAACTGAGTAGGAGACCATTAAAATAACATATATGTTAAAAAAATTAGGTTTGCATCAAAGTGAGAGGAAGGGGCTTATCCTAGTCTCATCATATCAAAATTCTAAGTAGAAATTAGCATAAATTATAAAGAAAACTGGAATTATTCTTTTTTTTGAGTGTGATTAAATAGAGGAAAATCTGCCAGAACCTGTGTAAAAAAATTTGCATCCAATGACTGGAGACAGTACCAACAAAAGAATTGTGTTTAAAAGACTGGTGACAGTTCCAACAAAAGACTCACATCCAAAAACTGGAGACAGTACCAATAAAAGACTTACATCCAAAGACTGGAGACAGTACCAACAAAAGACATGTTTACACCTCTTGCACATCATCTGTGCACAGCCATCATTGCGTTCTATTGGAACATGGCACACAGGACATCTTTTGATTTTGGCATCATCTGTGTTGTGAAATGGAATTCTGCAGAGAAGGAAGACAAGTTTTTTTACAAGTCCTTAAAAATTGACTTGACTAATAAGAAAAGCTAGATTTGATTTACTTTAAATTTGTCATTCAAAGGGAGTTATTTTTCGTCAAGCCCACTTACTTCTATAACTGGAAGAAAATAACATAGCATTGTTGTTAATTATATTTGTACATGCCAGCGATTAAAAATTCCTGTGAAACTGTGAATGTTTCATGATCTTGATACAAAAAAATTTATTTTAAAACATACAATTTATCCCCATGATCCCTATGGTCTCCAATGTACCATGTACATGATCTGAGGTCCCCAAGGTACTCACCCTAATTCCTCTAAGGGTGCAGATGTAACTACTTCATCACAGGACTTTGGAGCATGCCACTTTGACTTGCATATTGAACAAAACTGAAGACCACACTAAACAGATGCAATGGAAAGATAGGTTAAAAAAAACTAAGATATCCTGATCTAAAAATTTTTTAAAAAATGTTTAGGTGTAAAATTCCAAACAAATTCCCTTTTTTAGAATGTTTTCTTCATTGTGTTTCAGGAAGTTCATAAATATTACTCTACATGTTTTAAAATGTGCCTTTGCAAAATATTTATATCTTAATGAATATCATCAAATGACAAGAGATCATATTAGTATTTTTTTTTAAATTTTAATTTAAAAAAATCAAATTTACTAACTGCACCACAAACAAAAGAAATAATGTAAGAAATAATGCCCACACTGCTGCAGTCATGTCGGCACTTACTGTGGGACACTGTACAGGAATAGAGGCTGCTGTTGAAACAGCACCACCGCCAATGTGCGACTGAGAGGAGCAGACATGACAGACAGTCTCACAGCCAATCTCGGGACAAAATGTTCGGTTGGGGTCAAGGTCTACCTCTGAGCAAAATAAAATAAAAAATAAAGTTTGTTTCTGGGTCTCAACATAATAAAAAAATGTTTTATCAGAGAATTTTAGATTACAAATAATCATGATTAACAAGAAAAATCATTTGTATTTCAAAATTATTATTAAAAAATGTATTTTAAAAACTAAATCCCATAACCTCAAGTCATGATTGGTCAGTGAAGGTTCCAACAAATGATCTCCAGTGATGTACTTATTTAGCAATCTTTAGTTTTGAGCCCAAAAATTCATAGACTTAATGATGCAAACAGGAAAGTAGTTTTACAAATATCACACCTTAACAAAAAATATGGAGCCCTAAATTGTTCGAGGTAACAATAGCACTTTAGATTTCAAACATCTCACTTTAAGTGCAAGGTACAAGGTATCTAAGACTGTTAATAAAGTTGGCATAAGGCCACCAGTTCTCACCTCTTTGAAAATGTAGTCTCTTGTACCTATGAAATGTCTGTTTATCTACCAATTTTTCAATCTGAAACGCACCAGACAAATCACAGTTTAAAACCAATTGCAGAGGAGGGTTGGGTGGGGTGGGGGGGGGGTGGTGGACACCTAGAAAACAAACTAATCAACTCATCAGCTATAGCTGTTTACCGGTCGGTACCTGAGGTCTGCTTTGTTGGCATGTAAAGGCATTTTGTACATTTGTAAGAAAATTTTTCAGTATTTAGACACCGCTACCACTATACATTGAAATTGAAATGGTGTGACTTTCTAAAACATTGAATTGACAATAAAATTTTGTGCAAAAAGTAACCAAATACTACATCTATTGTAATTGCTTATTCTTACAAGTAATGCATTAAACATGTAAACCTTTCTTTAAAAAATAAAACCAAACCATAAATTATTTCATAAATTAGTTGAATAAATAATGAAAATATGGTGACAAAACATTTCCCCCCCCCCCCAAAAAATAAAAAAAAAAAAATTAAAAAAAAATTCCCCCCCCCCCCCCAAACAAAATATTCTTTTTTGGCACACTATCAACAAATCAGTAAAAGCAGTGGTTAAATCTTTATTTCTTACTTCAGTTGTAAAAAAAATATATATATAGTTTACTACTTACAATAGTTTTTAATTTTATGATACTAGATACTAGACATCTTTTAGTACTGACCTCATCAGCTGTAATTTTTCCTTGTTTTCTACACTGAGCATCTGGACAGCTGAGATCTCCAACCAATCCTTCAGTGATCATCACAGACAGATACTGCTTCATACACTGGAAATATTTGAAATGATAAACTGATAGACATTGGAAATAGGCTTCAGGCAGTATTTGAATGACGAAAATGTTCTGTTCCTAGTTTCCTAGAGGTTGTTGATTCTTTCTTTATTTTTTTTTTGAAATGTGTCAAACCGCCTAAACATGCATATTTTTGCATGCACGATACAATGCGATCCTATAAATACTAAAATATATTAGCAGTAGCAGTTATTTGTATTTATTAAATAAATTTTTATTAAATATCAATTAAGTTCCTTTTAAAATGAAGATATCTACAAGTAAAGTTTTAAAAATAATAAAAGAAAACAAGTCACATGACAAACCATCTATTTTTATTAAAAAGCTTACATAAAATGTTATATTTTATAAAATCTAAAAACTGCCTATTTTTTAAAAATTAAAAACTTCCTGTATAATAAATTGTTCTATAAAATTCATTAATATTTTCATGATAAATTCAGATCATTTGTAGAAATCCAATTCATATTGATTTTAAATTCTCTATACTATTATGTATTTAGTTAGCTCTCTTGTTCCAATAGTTTCTCTAATTTAAGGTCACATTGATAAGTTATTTATAAGCAGGTGTTGTGAACTAGATATAGGGGCCTGAATGTTGGGTATGGAAAAGGCGTTTAGTGTAGAGAGTATATGTGTAGCTGTATCTATATGCTGGGATTTTGTGACTATTTGGGTAAGGGGATATGATGTCTTAGTTGGTGCTATGGTTTTGGAATGATAGCAGTGATGGAGTGTTAGATTGTCAGAGTTGTGTATTTAATAGAGACGTTTGTTCTATAAAACATTGGTTGGTTAAGTAGCTTAATTAACCTAGACAACGAAGGTAATGAACTGGTAATTTCTGGTTCATAACAGAATGCAGTACTTTTGAAAGTTCAACTCTCGATTGATTTGAACTGATAAATCCCATCTTTCCATGAGTGGGATTGGTGGAAACTAACAACTACCCGGTACTGACTGTACTGACCGGTACTGACCATTTCACAGAACAGGCACTTGCACTCCAGCAGTTCATACATATCCACCAGAGGACACTCCGACAGGCATAGTTTACATAATATCAAGGGATCGATGGCCAGGTCAACTGTGTTTTTGGAGGCACAATAGGTTGCCATTGTCACACCTAGAATGAACAAAAATGATGTTGAATTATCATGGTAACTTAGACAAAAGTGAATTATCATGGTAAATTAGTCAAAGTGAATTATCAAGGTAACTTAGTCAAAGTGAATTATCAAGGTAACTTAGTCAAAGTGAAGTATCATGGTAAATTAGTCAAAGTGAAGTATCATGGAAAATTAGTCAAAGTGAAGTATCATGGTAAATTAGTCAAAGTGAAGTAACATGGTAAATTAGTCAAAGTGAAGTATCATGGTAAATTAGTCAAAATGAAGTATCATGGTAAATTAGTCAAAGTGAATTATCAAGGTAACTTAGTCAAAATGAAGTATCATGGTAAATTAGTCAAAGTGAATTATCATGGTAAATTAGTCAAAGTGAAGTATCATGGTAACTTATTCAAAGTGAAGTATCATGGTAAATTAGTCAAAATAAATTATCATGGTATTTAAGACAGAACAAATTATCATAGCAACTTAGTAAAAGGGAATTATCATGGTAAATTAGTCAGAATTATCAAGGTAATTTAGTCAGAATTATCATGGTAAATTAGTCAAAGTGAATTATCATGATAAATTAGTCAAAAATGATTATCGTGGTAAATCCGTCAAAGTGAATATCATGGTAGACAGAGTGAATTATCATTGTAACATAGACATTTATCGCGTGGATTTTCTCAGAATAAAAATATCATGTTTATCAACATTTGGGCCAACGGGCATAAATTGGCTTTGTATGTGTGTGCCCCCATGTCTAGCTCATATACTAATTGAAAATTTCAAAAACATCCAGATGACATTTCTTGTTTGCTGACTTTCTTGTCTCAATTATAAATAAACTTTAACATTTAGGCCTACGTCTACGTCCATTTACAACAGACATTTCGGTCCAGTCAGAACATACATTTCAGTCAAGTTACAACATACATGTTAGTCCATTTACAACAGAAATTTTGGTCCATTTACAACAGAAATTATCATCCATTTGCAACATACACATTAGTCTATTTACGCAAGACACTGCAGTCCTTTTACAACATACACTGAACTGCCTTCCATTTCCATCAGGTACGGAGGTTTAACTAGAAGAATGTTCCCCTCAGATCGATATTATCACAGCCATTAATGTTGTCGGCTTAACACACACCCGCCTCCACCCCACCCCCACCCCCTTCCCACTTTCGCTTATTCGTTTCCTCATAAACAACAACTAAAAGTGCAGCGCTAACACTGCGTGTCATCAAATGTTTCCGCGCTCAAGACAGAAGCTGTCCGGCAACCATTACGTTTGAGTCGTTTTTAGCGTTAGACAGGGTGCTAAAAATGAAGCACATTACGGGGTGCTAAAAATAAATCACATTCAACAGAGAAACCAGGGAGATAGCGGTGCCGAGGAGGGGAGGGGGGGTAGTATTGGAATGGTCATTACTGGTGTAAGTGAGATGGTGCGATAGTGTCTTCTGCTAAAGACATTTCTGCCACAGAAAAAAACAAAACAAAACGCAACAGAACATCGTTGGGATTACAAGTCTGAAGTCTAATAGCATAGAGCACTCGGCGTGTGACAGAGTATATCCGTTTACATCGTTGGATTACAAGTGGGAAGGCTAGTCACATAGAGCACTCTGGCGTGTGACATGGTAGCATAGAGCATTCTGGCGTGTGACATGGTAGCATAGAACATTCTGGCGTGTGACATGGTAGCATGGAACATTCTGGCGTGTGACATGGTAGCATAGAACATTCTGGCGTGTGACATGGTAGCATGGAACATTCTGGCGTGTGACATGGTAGCATAGAACATTCTGGCGTGTGACATGGTAGCATAGAACATTCTGGCGTGTGACATGGTAGCATAGAACATTCTGGCGTGTGACATGGTAGCATAGAACATTCTGGCGTGTGACATGGTAGCATAGAGCATTCTGGCGTGTGACATGGTAGCATGGAACATTCTGGCGTGTGACATGGTAGCATAGAGCATTCTGGCGTGTGACATGGTAGCATAGAACATTCTGGCGTGTGACATGGTAGCATAGAGCATTCTGGCGTGTGACATGGTAACATAGAGCATTCTGGCGTGTGACATGGTAACATAGAACATTCTGGCGTGTGACATGGTAACAGAACATTCTGGCGTGTGTTTGGCGCCCGGGAAAAAGTTTCCTTTTAAAGCGCCTCCATTTCTTTTTTTTTCAACCCTCAAACCCATTATTTTCATCAATAAAGTAATATCAAAGCACATTTTGGCGCTACTAACTAGCATGTCCCCCCTGCCCCCCCCCCCCAGCTACACTTCTGGCGGCTGGCTGTCTGTCGGCTGGCTGTCTGTCAGTTTGACATAGACCCAGTGGCCAGTGATTTCTTTTTTTTTCAACCCTCAAACCCATTATTTTCATCAATAAAGTAATATCAAAGCCCATTTTGGCGCTACTAACTAGCATGTCCCCCCTGCCCCCCCCCCCCAGCTACACTTCTGGCGGCTGGCTGTCTGTCGGCTGGCTGTCTGTCAGTTTGACATAGACCCAGTGGCCAGTGACACATCTGAGCGTAAATAGTTGAACAATAAAATCACCCTAAAATTAAAAACAAGACTATTTCAACGTGTGCAACAGCGCCAATGTTCGGCCAGCCACGGAGTTATACCGGAATATCGCATGAACATGTTACACTCCAAATAATTGCAAACATTAAATGAGCCCATAAAACCACGGCAATCTTTGACCTCTATGTCAGTGCTTCCCAAACCTTTGTTTGGCCAGTGCCCCGACTGTTAAGGACTAGTATGTATATGGTGATGGCGTGTTGTTTGGAGAGTATTTGGGTAGATGTCGCTATGAAATGTTTGGTATTTTGTGACGTATTGTGCGTAAGGGGGACATGACGTATTGTGGTGTAGTTGTGTTGTGATTGAGCAATGGCAGTGGACAATGTTAGTTTGGTTAGTAAAGATACTTCATTCCAAGAGTCTACGGTTTGTGTAGTTAATACAATAACCCCTAGACAAACGAATCCAACGAACCTTGGTAAGATACCGGTTTGTAACACCGACCAACTACAAACGTGGGGTGCCTCCTTACCCCCAAAGGCGGGGGTCAAACCAGAGGTGTCGCATAGAAAAACAACAATAAGACACAAACAATTTAGGAAAACTTTTTTATTTTTTTAAAACATTTAAATGTTAAGCTTTAGTTTTAAAAAAAAAAACTTTTTGGCTAATGCCACCATCAATCAGAAGGAAAAAAACAACTTTTCGGCTAGTGCCCCCATCAATCAGAAGGAAAAAAACAACTTTTCGGCTAATGCCCCCATCAATCAGAAGGAAAAAAAAACAACTTTTCGGCTAATGCCCCCATCAATCAGAAGGAAAAAAAACAACTTTTCGCTAATGCCCCCATCAATCAGAAGGAAAAAAACCACACAAATTGCATGAATTTAAACTAAATTTTTACATTTCTATATGCATATTTATCCTGCCTGTGAAATAACGCAAAGAAAAAAACATGGAAAAAACAAAGGGGGTGGGCTAAAGTTCTTGACAAACACGAAGAAGCGAAAGATTGAGTTTCGATTCCACAGCCTTTTAAGACAAAGGGATTGAACGTGTTATGCAATAAAGCGATGCATTGAATGATGCTGATGGCAATCACTTTAAAAAAATGCCCAATCAACCGGACCGCAAGGAATAAGTGGGAAACAGCTTTGGATATACCGAAACCCCGCTTCAGCGAGAACGGGAAAACTTCTCCTGTTGGCATGGCTCCCATTTTCATTGGCGATTTTTTTCTCTTCAAAGTACCGGTAAATAAAAAAAAATAAAAATATTATGCTAAACACATATTCTCTGTTGTACAACTCTATCACAAATCCACTAAGACTAGTACAAAATCAACATCACATGCATGGTTCACTAACTAACCACAAGAGAAAAAATGAATTTTAAATAGTCCTACTAAAATTCCCACTTCAACTCGCACATTATATTGCAACAATATTGCAATAACGCGACCAAGCTTATAACGCGATCTGATTTTACGGACCCGAATTATCACGTAAAAAATAGTTTTTTCTTGACTCGTCTTAAAAATTGAAATGTTATTTTCTTACTCAACCTACTCTTTTTTATTTTAGTTTGTAACTATGGATGGAGGGCAGTACGGGACTATGGACAGATGGAGGATGGAACAGGACAATGGGTGGATAGAGGGCGGTACGCCGGTACGGGACTAAACACTAACGGGAAGTTGAAAGGCGACCTGTCCAACCTTTTGAAAAGTAAATAAATACACCCCTTTCTGAAAGAGACGCAATGTCCCCCAGATAATAATCTTCAAATGGCACCCCCAGCGCTGAGAAACATTAAAGCCTTCACCGCGGCACGTGGACATGCGACACCCACACGGATATGTGTCCGGGTTGCCTGGGTAAAGGTGGACACGATAAAAAGATCTGTGACTAACTTGAAGTCATGATACAACACTAGCCACGTCACAACCACATCACGGATGACAGGAGTTCATGTGGCGAGGCTTTCGGGTGCCCGGCCAGCGGGCGTAAAGTAACGCCATCAGTTGTCCAGGGGAATAACTTTCCAACAATGAAGGAGATATCCCGGCTAGACGAGTCGTCCCACGCAGAAGAGTTATACTCCCAAGTGGAAGTAGAAATACAAAAAATAGAAGCAATATTAATATCTTTAAAGATCGGATATCACAGAGAAAAGTAATATCACAAATACAAAATACATCGAATAATAAATGAGTTCTCAAATATAAAAGATAAATTAATCGCATAATCATTTATAAGATAAGACATGAAAAGGGAGATATCCTCTATCAAAAGGTATCACAAATAATGATGCATTGTAACAGTTTACTGAGGTACTAAATATGATGGAGGTCTGTGTATCAAACCCGTGGCACTAGAGTCAGTGGCAGATAACAGAGTGACAACGGGGGTATCGAGTGTTCCAGTTCAATACTTGTGTGTGTGTGAGTTGTACCCCATGCCTTGACTTGTGTGTGCAGAGCCGTTCTTATAGGAGTTTGGGGACCCTAAGCATGGAGCGTAAGTTGGGGGCCCCGAAAGGGGGGGGGGGTCCGGGGTTGGAGCTCCCTCGAGCTGAGGAGAAAACACCACCCACCACTGCGGCACCTCCATTCTGCCTTCATCAATGTTTCCTCTTTGCTCGCGTGTAACCACTAACCATATTGATAATTCCGCCACAATAGAAAATGTGTACTTCTGAAATATATGGACATGCAGGTGGTAGTGGGGCCCCAGGCGGTTGCCTAGTTTGCCTATATGCCTAAGAATGGCTCTGGTGGCACTTATTTCCTTATTTTGAGGAAGGAGATCGCCCCCGGCTTCCCTTCCCCTGCCTCAGAATTCAACCCAGAATGATAAACTTCAGGATGAGGAAGGTAACGTGAGTGACACAGACGGCTGCAGTGCCACTTTAAAAAAAAACCGGGGGATCGAGGGCGCCTCACGGGCCCCCCCCTCACGTTCGGGGCCCTACGCGGATGCGTAGTCAGCGTATGCCTAAGAACGGGCCTGATGTGTGTGTGAGTTGTACCCCATGTCTAGACTTGTGTGTGTGTGAGTTATACCCCATGTCTTGACTTGTGTGGGTGTGAGTTGTACCCCATGTCTTGACTTGCGTGTGTGTGAGTTGTACCCCATGTCTTGACTTGTGTGTGTGTGAGTTGTATCCCATGTCTTGACTTGTGTGTGTTTTTACCCCCCCCCCCAATGTCTTGACTTGTGTGTGTGTGTGTGAGTTAGAGCCCGACCGAGTTTCGGCTTCGGCGCTGAGAGTAGACATTTTATACCCCATGTCTTGACTTGTGTGTGTGTGAGTTGTATCCCATGTCTTGACTTGTGTGTGTTTTTACCCCCCCCCCCAATGTCTTGACTTGTGTGTGTGTGTGAGTTAGAGCCCGACCGAGTTTCGGCTTCGGCGCTGAAAGTAGACATTTTATCGGCCAAGTTTCGGTTTCGGCCGAAAGAGAAAAGATAACTTTCGTTTTTTTCCGGTTTTCTGAGGTTTTCGGTCATTTTATACCATTTTATACTCAGCGAAAGCAATATTTAACAACAAACTTTAGCGACATTTAAGAACAAACTAAATGATCTTTAAAACAAACTAAGCGATCTTTAAGAACAATATAAGCGATCTTTAATTTAAAAAACTACACGATCTTAAAGAACAAACTAAGCGATTTTTAAGAACGAACTAAATGATCTTTAAGAACAAAACAAATGATCTTTAATAGTAAACTAAATAATTTATACGAATAAACTAAGTGATCTTTAACAGAAAACTAAATTTTCTTTAGGAACAAACTAAAAGATTTTTAATAACAAACTATTCGATCTTAAGGAACAAAATCAATTATCTATAAGAACAAACTAAGCGATCATTATGAAAAAAACTAAGCGATCTTCAACAACAAAATAAGCGATCTTTAAGAACAAACTAAACGATTTTTAATAACAAACTAAAAGATCTATAAAAACAAACTAATGATCTTTAAGAACAAACTAAAAGATCTTTAAACAAAAACTAAGGGATCTTTAAGAAAAAACTAAGCGATCTTAAAAAACAAAATAAACGATTTTTAGCAACAAACAAAGCCATCTTTATGAACAAACTAACCGATCTTTAAAACAAATAAAGCGATCATTAACAAAAAACTAAACGATCTTTAACAACAAACTAAGTGATCTTTAAGAAAAATCTAAACCATCTTTAACAACAAGATGTAATATTAGAATGCTTATTTATTAATATTCACGATTATCGCATTTTTTAATAAAACGAATGCAAATATTTATACTTTCCCCCATCATTTTCGATGCATGCAGAATGTATGCGGGAACGAATTTGAAAATTCTTAAATATTTCATTTTCGGTTTCGGTCGAAAGTCATTTTTAAACTTTCGGCCTATTTTCGTCTTCGGCCGAATTCAGAAAATCACTTTCGGTCGGTCTCTAGTGTGAGTTATCCCCTATTTATTACCTTCTGCGTGAGTGAGTTGTCCCCCATGTCTTGAGTTGTGTGTGTGATTTTTCCCTCATGTATTGAGATAAGTGTGTAAAATGTCCCCCATGTCTTACTTTTAGTGTGAATAGTCCCCATGTCTTACCTTGTGTTTGAATAGTCCCCACGTCTTATCTTTAGTGTGAATAGTCCCAATGTCTTACCTTATGTGTGTGAGTTGTACCCCATTCCTGGACTTGTGTGTGTGGGTTGTCCCCCATGTCTTACCATGAACGAGTAGCCCCCCCCCCCATGTCTCTCATTGTGTGTGAATAGTCCCCCATGTCTTACCTTGTGTTTGTGTGAGTTGTCCCCTTTGTCTTACCTTGTGTTTGTGTGAGTTGTCCCCCTTTGTCTTATCTTGTGTGTCTGAGTTTTCCCTAATGTCTCACCTGGTGTGTGTGAATGGTCCCCCCACATCTCACCTTGAGTGTGAATAGTCCCCATGTCCAGCACGCAGTGGTCATTGTTGTTAATCCCATCTCCGGTGTTCCATTTCCTCGGACTGCTCACAAACGGCACCAGATCTACGTAACACTCGGACATCATTGTCATTAACAAATCGACGCGCGGCAAGAACACGTGCCACAAGAATCCAGGTGATTCATGACAGTCTAAGATAACATCAGTAGTTCACCCATGTCGCCAGCCCGAGGCAACACAACGACACAGTTAGTTGCACTTCGTCTTTCAAATCACAAATCGTTGAAGTTTTAGCAGTCAACTATTTTAAGATGGCTCTATCTTTTAACTCCAAAATATGAACACACGCAGTATGGCCCACAGAGAATATATTCACGCAAACTGTGACAACTACTACTGTCTCAATACATCGATCAATCAATAAAATTGCCGTCGGCTTTGATCGAACCAATTCGCCAAGTTCAAGAAACACTACATTTAATATGATGTCAAATAGAAATTTAAAAAAAGAAGATGATTCAGATCCACGACTACGGCCATTTACCCGTCGACTGTTCAGTGATGACAGCATCATCACCAACGACTGGTCTAACAACGTACGTCTGAGTCGACCTACTCGAGGCCACACTCCCCACTAGGCCCAGGGATGCGCAGCACGCGCAGTCGGTCGTGTGTTGAAATCCCCCCCCCCCCCGCTTTGACATTTCAAGTTTACGTCTTCTTCTAATCCTGGACCCTACGTCAATAATGGCGGTTGACAGCAGACGTGAGGAAAGGAGGGGGGGGGGAGAGAAGAGGACGCTCGTAGCTGGTGAATTGCAAAGG